GCTGTAGGGGAGAAGCGAAATGTGTCTGGGAGACTAGGAAAGGAATGTGGAATACAGAGGAAGATTTGGTGGGGAGAAGACATTGTAAAAAAAAAAAACTGATGGAATCTTCCATTAAATGCAAAGGATTAGAAAGGAAATTGAGGCAAATTTTACTTAATAAGAAAACTTTCTTTCTGGCCATAATAACTCTATGAGACTTTTCTAGAATACTTTTAATACCTTCATACTTATTTTAAAAGTACTTTAGTGCAAATCATCTTTGTATCTGCACAAAAGTCTGTAAAATACATAACAGATATTTTCTCTTTACATAAAAAAACTAAGGAACAAAAGTATTTGCTCAAGATCAAACTCAGGATTAAAGTTTTCTGAATTGTAACCAGTACTCATCTCAGTAACAGATATTATTTCTTAAAGGGAGCAGAATTTAGTGGCCCACTATTAATAAGACACTAATTACAGCCCCCTTTTGAGCATCATGAGTGGCTAATTCCAGACAATAGATACAAATGACTCAGAAAAGTTGTCTTTTCTGAGTCCAGTCTGTCTTGAGGCATCCATGGATCACTGGCAGCTTGTGTAGGGTGAGGAGGTGGTTGCCATAGGTTACTCAGGAAATGAGTTGGAGTACAGGGGTAGAAGGTAGGATAACAAAGTGTTTGCTGTCTCATCCAGGACAGGCATCTATCTACCACACTCTTGTAACATCTGATGGTGTTCACAGTGCCAGAGCTGTATAAACCTGCCCATAATCAGAATATAAGGCATCTTTGAAATAAGAATTTTTAATACCACACTCACATTAGAGGCAAAACAATGTAAGATAAAAAGTTTGAGCCCAGCTCTGCCATTTGTGTGGCACTTGTGTGGCCACTTGTGTGCCACTTAGGTAAATTATTTAACCTTTTGAAGTCTCAGTTCCCTTATCTATAAAATGGGAAAATAATAGGAGGATTAAATGATGGAAAATGTTTAGTATATGATGCTTGAATTTAGCACATACTTATTAAATGTAAGCTATTTTGATGATACTTTAAAATATGAATTTGTTACTATTCCAGGATTATGTGAGAATTTTATGATAGTGGGGCAAAATTTAATGCTTACATTTTAGAAAGTATTAAGCAGTGCTAAGGAATGATACAAGCACAGGTATGTGGAAGTTCTAAGGTGATGAGCAGGTACATGTACATTTCACCACCCTCCGGAGCGTTACAAATGGATAGTTTTCTTCAATATAGGTTAAGAGTAGCTAACATTAATTGATAATGTATTTTTTGGACAGTCAACAAGAAATAACTTCCTTAGTTATCTTAAGACTTGAACTTATAATAACATGACTTGCTCCTCAGAAAAAAATGTCTTCCCCAGGGTTTTTTTTGCTTCTTCTTTTAATTTTTATTTTCATAGAATTCTAGATCTTGCCAGTGGCATGAAGGTTATATAATTACGTTAGCATCCCATCTTCTGGGACACATCTGACATGTTTACCCACCCTTGTAGACTTCTCTGACAACCATTTTGCTTTCTATGTTCCCTAGAGAAATTGAAAGCTAGCTAGTCACTTTGACTCACATCCTCAGGATAGAAGGAAAAAAGTATTTGGATGAGATCCTCAACCTGGGAATCCTGTGTTTTCTTTTAACTTAGGTGGGGAAATTTTAATAATAAAAAATGATACAAGAACAAAGATTTCAGTACTGTGCAAGTTTTGCTTCTCTGTATTTAGTCTCTATCTTCTTCATTTCTAAAATAGAGATTTTTCGCTTGTTTCTGCTTAGGAATAAAGAGACTGTAAATCTAAAGCATTATTCATGAATATCAATCTACCACAATTTCAAGGATAGTGTTTTGGTTTCAGGCTTTGGATTAGAGAAATTGAAAAGCTCCTGGGCCTCCAGCATGTCAAGTTGTACAGAGAGGAAGTCTGTATTTGTTGATTACTATAACTTTATAGTATAGTTTGGAATTGGGAAGTCTCCAGCTTTATTATTCTTTCTCAAGATTGCTTCAGCTATTCAGGGTCTTTTGTGGTTCCATACAAATTTTAAGGTTATTTTTCCTGTGAAAAATGCCATTGGAATTTTGATAGGGATTGAATTGAATCTGTAGATTGCTTTGGGTAGTGTGGACATTTTAACAATATTAATTCTTCCAATCCATGGCATGGAAAATCTTTCAGTTTTTTTAAATTTCTTCTTCAATTTCTTTCATCAATGTCTTATAGTTTTCAGTGTATTGCTCTTTCACCTTCATGGCTAAATATATTCCTAGGTATTTTTTTCTTTTGGATGTATTTGTAAATGGGATTGTTTCTTAATTTCTATAATAGTTCATTGTTAGTGTAGATTCACAAAAACAAACATCACAAATTACAACAGACTTTTGTATATTGATTTTTTTATCCTGCAACTTTACTGAATTCATTTATTAGTTCTAACAGTTTTTTGTGGAATCTTTAATAATTAGAGTCTTCTTTCTTTTTTCTTATAATAATTAGAGTCTTCTTTCTTTTTTCTTGGTCTATTAGCTAATGGTTTTTCAAGTTCGTTGATCTTTTCAAAGAACCAACTTTTGGTTTAATAATTTTCTTTTTTTAAATTCTTTATTTCATTTATCTCTGGTTGAATCTTTATTATCTCCTTCTGCTAGCTTCTTTCCTTCTGATTTCTTCTTTGACCCATGGGGGTGTGTTGTTTAATTTCCACAAATTTGTGAATTTTTCTGTTTTCCTTCTGTTATTGATTTCTAACTTTATCCCATTGTGGTCAGAGAACATACTTTGTATGATATCTATCTTTTTAAGTCTGTTGAGACTTAATTTGTGCCCTAACATGTGATCTATCCTGGAAAATGTCCCATGTGAACTTTAGAAGAACATGTATGCTTTTTGTTGGTTAGAGTGTTCGGTATATGTCTATTAGATGTAGTTGGTTTATTGTGCCATTTAAGCCCTTTATTTCCTTGCTTGTGTTCTGTCTGCTTGTTCTGTCCATTATTGAGAGTAGAGTATTGATGTCTCTATTATTGTAGAACCGTGTATTTCTCCCTTGGATAAATGAGTTTAAAAGGATATATTTCTTTACCTTTATTCAAGGAAAAAAATGTATAGGTAACGTAGGATTGTTAGAAATACGATATATAAAGTTATCTGCTTTAGTAATTTGGTTTATTATCCTTAATCTGGCTCTTGCAAATTTTTGACCTTCTATTAAATCCATAAAGAGAAACATTGTCATAATATTGCATATAATATTCTGTGATTAAACTAAATACAGTTTAAAGACAACCATTATAAAATTTTGGTTTTAAGAACTTTTAAGTTCCTTAAGAACATGAAAATGAGAATAATTGTAATATACTGTAATTCATAACACACCTGATCCAAGTGGAAAACTTTAAGCTGTATCCTTGTCTATGTATAATTCTTATACTTTCTATCCCAAAAGGGATAGAGGGAGGTCAGGTACAACTTCTAACTGCTTTCACTCTCCTAAAGGAATTGAAGTTTATTTAAATTAATTTGGTCTTTATTGTTTGCTTTGTATTTCTTGCTTATTGTAGAAATTTAAAAGGAAATAAACGCCAGTACTTAATCTTTCATATTTTTCACCTCTAAGGGTAATCTTATTTTACTGAATTAATTGTGTTATAAGGCATACAGAATATTTTATCCTAACTGAGGAGAGAGACCCAGGTTAAATGAGACTTCAAGGGTCAAAACAAAGAGACCAGTTTGATTTACCAAGTTTTATTGTACCATTGTTAACTGTGCCCTCAGCCCAATGACCTGCCTTAACAATATATATGCATTTTAAGCTTTTGTGCAAGCTAATTATAGTGTTGATGATATTATTAATAATATGCTTACTATAAGACCCTGTGTTTATTTTGTATAATTTAATTTTCTCAGCAACCCCATTGTATAGAGGAGGAAATTCCTCTCTGTTTAAACAAATTGAGCTAGTAGTGGGAGGGAGTCTCAGGAGGGAGGGGATTATGGGGATATATGTATACATATAGCTGATTCACTTTGTTGTACAGCAGAAACTAACACAACATTGTGAAGCAATTATACTCCAATAAAGATTAAAAAAAAAAGAGCTAGTAAACGGCAGGGCCAGCTTTTGTCTCAAATATGTCCTATTCCAAATCTTGTGCTGTTAACCACTCAGCTTAGCCTACTTTCCAATTCTATAGAGTGGGAAATGTATAATAAAAAATACTTGTTGATCAGTAAAATTACCTTTGTTTATTGCCAGTACTTTCAGCCATTTGCTTTGCTGATTTTTAATCCCTTGCTCACGTTTGTTGTTAATTTTATAAATGGGAGGATGACTGGGGCCATGTGTTTTGTAAGCAGTATAATTATTTTTTCTCAACCAGTTCCGTCTTGCTTTTTCCCATTGTTCTTGAGTAGGAAGAAAAAAAGAAAGTTAGTGTGAATTTTTTAATTTTCAAAATTACTAACCTGTCTTTGTAATTACAAGGGAAAACCAGAGGATATTTTAAGAAAATATATTTATTTGACAGGTGTGACTTAACGGTCAGGGTAGGGTATTGGTCTGGGGATTGGACGACAAAATTATCTTGAAAAAATTAATTCCACTTTTATAAATAAAGTCACTTTAATTCCTTAATGCTTAAATTGGTATTTTTAAAACCTTTTCATTCTTCATGGGGAAGTTGTGAAAAGTATTATAATTATTTCAATCATGTGTTTAAGTCATATAAATAGACAGTTAAGAATAACAGTCTAAATTTTTTTAAATTAAATTTTCATTTTGGAAAAATCTTAGCATTTCTGAACAATGGCTGGGTTATACCCTATTATTACCTGACGAGCCTTGTCTGTATTTAAATCTTTCAAATAAATACTTGTCCTGAAGAAGAAAACACATTTTGTGTAAAGAACATTTGTCTTCTAATTTTTGGAATTGTGATCTCTCATTTGACATTATATGATTTTCTTAATGTTACCATAATTACTTTTTTAGTGTATTTTGGGATCTCTACTGTGCAGCTCCAGAAAGACGGGAAACATGTGAACATTCAAGTGAAGCAAAAGCCTTCCATGATTACGTAAGTTACTATATAATTTTACTAAGTTATATTGTCAGTTTTCTTCTTAACCACTGTTCTTGAAAAATGCATTGGACCATCCATTTTTTTCCTTTGGTACTTAAGAAATTATTCTTTTTGTCTTGGGAAGTAGGCTCATCACTTTAAAAGTGAAATACAAATGGGTTTGTGAGTCTTGTTGAAGAAACTTAGGATAAGAGAGTAGTCCTAACTCCAGGATGTTAAAGGTGTTTCTTATCTTTAAGTGTGCCTGATTTGTGAAGTTGCAGATTTATAAAAATTAAGTAGTAATTATTCCACAAAATTCATTATAAGAATTCTATAAGTGAAAAGTTCCTCTTCTGCATATAGCATTTTAAAAATATATAGAAATATTACATTATTCTCTTTTGCAACTTTTAGTTACACATCATAAGGCTAAATATCCCCTTCACTGAATTCAGTTCCATAAATAAATTTATTGTAAATTAAAGGAAATACAAGATAAGAGAGCAAAAGAGTCTGGGCAAAAATGAAAATGTGAATTTTTTTTTTTTAATTCTTAAGGAAGAGCAGTGGCCTATCCTTGGCTAGGTGATGTATATTGAGTGTTTTTTTAGAAGAACTGTAAATGTGATTTTAGAGAGTTGATGGCATCAGGAAATAGAATTGTAAAAAAAAAAAACAAAAAGTGGCGGGGGAGTAGGTTTTCTTTAGGGAAAAATAGCATTTAAGAATGAGGAGATTGTGTTTTGAAGGGGCTGGGAAAACACTGTGCAGAACTGACCATAAAAGACATGCAGATTGAGTTTGGGATGGAGGAAAACCAGTTTCCTTAGTGTGGAGGAAGTGGAATTGGGCCTGGAGCCTGAGGAAATATCGATTTTAAGTACCTTAAACTTTACCAGAAGGATACATGTTTAGTTGGTAGAAGGGAGGCATCATTCTGTGTAAACAGCCTTTAAAACCAGAACCAGGGCTCAAAAGGGAAAAAGAACTTGTTCTTCCAAAGGAAATACCTCAGCCTTAGTCTGAAGAGTGGAACTAGCCAGAAGAGTTAAAACCCCAAACACAGCACAAGGAAGAGTATGCAGACTTAAGAAAAGTGAAAATCTTGGGCATCTTGTAATACTGTTTAATACTTTAAACGTATACTAAACTGTGTAATACTTTAAACGTATACCAAACTGATTAAAGTGAGACGGCTTGTGATTACTTCATCTGATATTGATTGTACTTATAAAGCTTGCTTTGTGCTAAACACTAGCTCTTGGCGACAAGGTGAGTGAAAGAGATGCTGCTGCATATAAAGAAGAAGTACAGAAAAGGCAGACAAGGCAGGGCCCAGGACACGGCATTTATTTGGACAATCTCCTTCTCCTTTTTCACCTTTGGGTAATGGCTGTAAAGTAAAGCAGAGATCCAACCACGAAGAGTGTAAGGATTCTGGCTGGAGTGAGATACTCATCTCATCCGTCTCTTACATCAAGAAAGACGTGCCTAGGTTTGGCCTGCCAGTAATGGGAAAAGTTTTTTAAATAACCACTGATTTTGACAACTAGATGACATTAGATAGTATCAGTGTTCTGCTGTAAAGGACGTATAATGTTTGTGGATCTACATCTTAAGAAATTAATTACATAAGTACTTTTTCAAAATTCCATTGTATAGAAAGATGCAGCCTTCTGTTCACCATGGAGATCTTACAGGGAACACTGAACTAATTTAGTATCTCCTTCTTAGAAGCATAGATAAATCATCATTGTTGTTGTCATAGCCATCATCATCATCGTAATCGTAATCATTTTGCATCCATAAGGTGCTTTCAGTATTTCAGAGAGTACTCACTTTAGAAACCCACTTAAATATTTCAAGGTTTTTGAAAATGAGCATTGACCAGAGGTAGGAGTGAAATTAGATTTTATAGGAAGAATAACCCCTTACCATGTAATTTGGTCCTAAGAAAATGTAGTTTAGAAAAAAGTCAGTATTTGGATTTTACAATTTGTTATGAATTAGTACATGTTTTATCAGATATTTCATAATTTTATCTTAAACATTAGTTTTAAGAGATTTGATTTCTTAGGTGGCATTTTTATTATACCTTTAAGTTAATTTATTTTTAATGGTAATACATCTCTAAATTTTTTCAAATGGAGGTTGCTGAAAAGATAGAGTTTGACTTACAGAATCTTATATTGCAATTGGATTTTTAGAAATGCATTTGTTTTCTGTAGCAAACTTTTATGGTAATTTTCATGGGTAGGATTTCCTGAATTCTTAATAGTAGACAGTTTCTGAAAATGATCAACATAATTCATGTTTAATGTGTAAATATGGAAGTTTAATGTGTAAATATGGAAGTTTGAAAGACTCAGGGAAGAAAGCAGGGACAAACAATAAGAGTTTGGTAAAATTCTGTCACGTAATATTGCTGTATTAGAGTCCACTGGGGACCATTTCTAAGATAGTGATTAGTATGTATACCTACCGAATTTCAAGGTAGTTCTCAAGGAACCATTCTGAAAAATATTTTCTTTACTAGCTGCATCTTCAGAGTAAAAAAATACTTGCATGTATAAATTCTGATATGTTTAAAAAGTAGTCTCATTATTTTCTAGTCTTCACTTATCTATGAGATTGAATGGATAATGAAAGATAAACTACTTTTTTTCTTTTATTTTTTAAAATTTATTTTATTGAAGTATAGTTGATGTACAATGTGTTAATTTCTGCTATAGAGCAAAGTGATTCAGTTATACATTTTATATATATATATATATTTAAATATCTTTATTGAATTATAATTGCTTTACAATGGTTTGTTAGTTTCTGCTTTATAACAAAGTGAATCAGCTATACATATACATATATCCCCATATCTCCTCCCTCTTACATCTCCCTCCCACCCTCCCTATCCCCCCTCTAGGTGGTCACAAAGCACCGAGCTGATCTCCCTGTGCTATGCGGCTGCTTCCCACTAGCTATCTATCTTACATTTGGTAGTGTATATATGTCCATGCCACTCTCTCACTTCGTCCCAGTTTACCCTTCCCCCTCCTCATGTCCTCAAGTCTATTCTCTACGTCTGTATCTTTATTCCTGTCTTGCCTCTAGGTTCTTCAGAACCATTTTTTTAAAAAAGAGATAGTGGAGGCATAATGAGGTAAATTAAGAATAATCCTTTTAATTAAAAAATAGGCTAAAGTGTTAAAAGTGATTATCTTTTGATACTGGGACTATGCATGATTTTTATTTTTATCTATATAGTTCTGTATTTTCCAAATATCTGTAGTTAACTTTATATACAGGAAAGTTACTTTAAAGCAGATTAAATTTCACCTTACAGTGAGTTCTAATCTTTCTTCTAAAATTAGAAAATAGGGCTTCCCTGGTGGCGCAGTGCTTGAGAGTCCGCCTGCCGACGCAGGGAACATGGGTTTGTGCCCCGGTCTGGGAAGATCCCACATGCTGCGGAGTGGCTGGGCCTGTGAGCCATGGCCACTGAGCCTGCGCGTCCAGAGCCTGTGCTCCGCAACAGGATAGTCCACAACAGTTAGAGGCCTGCGTACCGCAAAAAAAATAATAAATAAAATAAAATTAGAAAATAAAAATTTTAGTAAAATAAAATTTAAATTTTAGGTGGTCATATGTTTTCATGTAACCATGTTATATTCATAAGCATATTTAGCACTGCTCAGGAAAGACCTTTTTGGTAAATGCGCATACTAAAAGAGAGATATACAAACTGAATAGATGTAATTTTGAGCCATTCTATAATTTCTAATAACTTTTTTGGTAATAATTATTCCAGAAACATTTTTGGCTTTTGGTTTTTAATTTTTTTTGGTTTGTTTTCTAATCATTGCCTTTTTAGAATATGGATTTTTGTCACCATATTATTTTATTTGCCAAATAATTGTTAATTGTTAAGTGTTAAGTGTTAATTAATATCTTTTTCCTCAAAAAATCACCCTGTTCATATTTATTGTGAGAAAAAGAAAAAGAGGGGAAACATTTAAGATGATTTTGACCTTTGCATTTATATTTTAAAAGATATTAACTATTTAGCATCCATATGGAGTACCAAATGTAAAATAATTATACCTTTAGAAATCAGCAATTAATAGTATGTAGGGATGCACTTTTGGATGACAAAGCTATAAAAAATCACAAGAAAATGATTACTGTACATGTCAGGATAATAGTTCCTTCTGAGAGATAGGAAGAGGTTATGATTGGGATGGGGCTCATGGCCGTGGCTTCTGAGATGGCTGGCAAAGTTCTCTTTTTCCTGACCACAGTGGTGGTTACTTTACAATAACGATATGTTTGCTTTGTAAAATTTCATAATGCCACAAATTTATTTTGTATGGCTTTCTGTATTTTTTTATTTTAAAATAACAAGATTTTAAAACAGTTACAATAATTAACTTTAGAAAAAGAATATGCACGGTCAGTTCTAATGTGTTTCCAGACATTGTTATGGTTCATCCTTAAGAACTGATGGCAGAAAATCTAGGGATGGTCTCCAAACAAATCTGTGTTTGTTTCTTCTCTGCTATGACAGACTCTATGAAGTATGTCTACCTGTTGATTTTCTAGAGGAGAGGAGAGAATAAGATCAGGAATGACGGAGGAAAATTTAGTAATTAAGAATTTATTTTATAAGAGAAGAGAGAGATGTTACTATAAGATGATTATTTTGCCATATGGCTGGGGGATACCTAGCTTGGCCCTGTTATTTTTATCCTGAATGAAAACCAGGTTCATCTAAATTATAAAATTATTATTATATATTACAATATTATCATTAAAAAGTAAACCATCATTTCAAGTGATTAGAAATAATACCTGCTAGCTTGTAAAGTTTATTGGACTAGCTTTCCTTTTCTCCCTATTACTGTTGTTTTTATTTTACTCTGAAATCACAGGCAATGCTTTTATGTGGAGCTAGTTAATGTTTACTGGATTTTTTTCCTGTTACAGCTTAACATGAGTTGTTTTATTTAATAATTTAT